TGCATGTGTAAAATGATTTGTGTGTGTGTAAAAGGATTTGTGCGTGTGTAAAAATATCTTTGCATGTGTAATACTGGATTTGTAAACCTTAAAAATAAAATAAACCTACACCTATGCCTATAAATGTTGAAAAAGTATGCACAAGTTACCTGGTACACACACACACACAACACAGATCCGGTTGGGAGTGCATGAGTATTTTTGAGACTCATTTGACGCTTTGGGGAGCTCCCAGATTTGTGTGTAGATGGTGCGTTTGCATGCTATTAAAAGCTGGGTCATCTGAGTTTTGCTCTGAGTCTAGTGTTGTTATCCTCGAAATGTTTCTCACTGTGCTTGTGCCGAAGTGCCAGACACGTTAGTTCGGTGGAAAACGGTATATCTCAGCAATTCCTTATAATATCCTAAAATTATTTATAGATAATAGACATATTGTGCATTTTTGAGCGGTACAGTCTCCTGTACCATTGATGTGGTATCACTGGGTGGCGGAAAGGACACCGACCGTTCTGAACTGAACTGCTGTACAATTTTCACTCAATTGTAATCACATTTACTTGGATACAGTGGAAACGTTACCTGTGTTGAGGTAGATGAGCAGTATTCATAGTGTCTTTACCTTAAAACCTTTTTGGTTTCCATTTGTTGAAAGTTACAAACATTTAGCCATAGTTTGACCACTGCTTTATGACAGAAAAAAAGTTTGATGTCACAAATATATGATTTTAATAGAGGCCTCATTAGATTTATAATGTAGAAAGAAGACAATGACAACAGTGTTTCCTGAATTAACTTTAATGTTAATTTCACTGCACACAAAGGACAGATTCAATATTTAAGATAGCAACAAATCTGTTGAATCCTTAACAAAATAGGTTCAGATTAACATGGGTGGTTTCACAGCTACCTAAAATTAACAATGAAATGTCTTAAAAACTTACATGGAGGTTCAAATATTTTCTATAATCAATTAACAAAAGAAAACACCATAAAGCTGTGTATTCAAATAAGACCAAGGCCAGTCTGTACAGATTGAGGAGACATCATAATGTTTACCAACAGAGCAGGTTAACTAAGGGCTGTGCAGAGCAGGTGTTCAAAAAAAGGGCACATCTAACCACATTTTAGGTCAGAATATTAAAGTCACAGAGCTTTCAGAGTTTAATAAACAATGATAAATTAAAATTGTGAGATATACAACTAGATTTAGTACATCTTAACATAATAAAACATAACAGCTGCCTTGTAATATTAAATATATTGTTCTCTATCATTAACAATATAGGTAAGAACCTTTTTTTTTTTTTTTTTTTTGTTACTTACGGTACTCGTTCTGACCCAGTTGGTCAACAATCCACTACCTTTTGCTGCTTCGAGTAGATCCTTTCTTTTTCGTTTCTGACATCTTTCTTTACATGGCATCTTTGAATTGAAAAAAGCAAAACATAATGAATTATGATAAGAACACTATATTAAACCACACTACCAATTCTTTACCATTTGCTACGGTCACTGACCTCTTGGGGCTCTCTTTCGGAGAGAGCTCTGTGTCTCTCTGTTTCAGTTCTGCAGGTGAAGTGTATTGGGGCTTGTCAGCCGCCCTATAAAGAGCAGCAAGCTGGAGATGCCAGATCCCCATGGGCGTAGGTTTGGGTAGGGACGGTAGGGACATGTCCCGACCAATATTCACGGGATATGAAAAAGTCCCGACCAATTTTTGCCATATTGGCTCAAAGAACGTGGATCTACGATCTTTGATTAGCAGCAACAGGCGGTGCGCGGAACGGAA